TGCCCTCAAGTCTATGCAAGTTCTTTGTTTCTTTTTTTTTAAATGTTTATTTATTTTTGAGAGAGAGAGACAGAGAGTGAGCAGGGGAGGGGCCAAGAGAGAAGGAGACACAGAATCTGAAGCAGGCTCCAGGCTCTGAGCTGTCAGCACAGTGCCCACGCGGGACTCGAATTTATGAACCACGAGATCATCACCTGAATTGAAGTCGGACGCGTAACTGACTGAACCGCCCAGGTGCCCCAAGTCTATGCAAGTTCTTACATCCTTTACCAAGATGTAATCTGAAATAGCCTGGATTTTATGGACATTCTGTAAAATGTCATATTTATTCACCATATGATTGACATCATGTAATAGTAACAGATGAGAGATATAAGGCAAGTATGTTGGAGGCCTTTGTTTATACATAATATAAACACCAAATTATAAGGTTTACACACCATAAACCTTCGAGAATAGGTAGTACATCTACAAAGATTTATAGGATTTCTGGCTCCAGACAACATGGAGTAGACACAATCTGCCTACTTCTCCCACTATAGACTCTGGAAAAAAAAAAAATATATATATATATATACATATATATATATATACACACATATATATATACATATGTATATGTGTATGTATATATATATATATATATATTTGATAGATATATCCAATATAATAAGGCTCTAAGAGGTGGAGAAAAAAAGGCAGATCAAGGAGGAAACTTGGGATCTAAGGAATGACATTACAGGGATTTCCCTTGCTTCCGCCCTCCTCCCTTATGTATCCCAGACTAAGTAATAGAGAGACCAACAACCCAGAAATGCCAACAGGTACAACCACCACCACCACAACAGAAACTACTTGTTTTCCCACTTTTCCCTTATAGTAAATGGCATCACTGACTGCTGTGCCTGAGAAGTAGCAGCAGTGGGATTGGGGGAAGAGGCAAGGGTGGGTAGAGGTTAAGAAGGATTTAAATGTGGGGTGCCTGGATGGCCTAGTCAGTTAAGCATCCAACTTCAGCTCAGGTCATGATCTTGCAGTTCATGAGTTCAAGCCCTGCGTTGGGCTCTGTGCTGACAGCTCAGAGCCCGGAGCCTGCTTTAGATTGTGTCTGCCTTTCTACTCCTCCCCGCTTGCACTCTATATCTCTCTTTCTCTCTCTCAAAAATAAATAAACATTTTTTAATTAAAAAAAGAAGGATTCAAATGATAATCCAATGATAAACAAGGTTTAACTGTATTATTTATGATTTTGTCTTATTGGTTATCGATGATGTAGAGCTAATCATCAGTGGTGTAGATCAATCATCAAAGGAACTTTCTAGGGATACATACATTCTTATGTTGTTCACTCAATAGCAAAAATTCATTTTCATTGACTTTATAACTTAAAAATCTATCAGCCAACTTCAGAAACAAGTGAATTGAAATATCTTATCCTCATTTAAGTGGAATATTCTGCCCCATTTAATAAACTAAGATAAATTATTTATTAAGTTAAACATCATTCCTTCGAAATCCATAGAGTAAATCAACCATATGCAATTTTATTATAGTGTTTATTTTTTATTGGTAATTGAGTTACGTGAATGTCATATAAGTCAATTAGTTGAAAAACAGAAACACTGTGATATCAAGAAATGTTGAAATGTTTGAAAGGTGATTGTGAAAACGGACAAAACTCAGGACAAATTCTGGCTTGTTGAAGAGACAAATGCGGTACCCTGGTCACTACAAGGAAGATGAACTTCTGTATTTCTTATTCAAAGAACACAATGAGAAGAGCTCAAGAATTCTGTCTTCAGCTGCTGACCAATCTGTAAGAGGCTTGGAAACTCCCCAAGACCAGGACTGAGAGCCATCCCCTTCACCTCTGATCCTTGAATGCCTGATTCTGATTCTCTTTGATGGTGCCAGGCCCCAAAGGGATTGGTTGCGTGATGTAGACTAAGGATTGAATTCACCATGACTGGACAAAAGCACTCTGAACACAGTGCTCCTTCATTGCCCACTGAAACAAGTTCTGAATCCCATTTTTTATGGCACATCACACCAGGATCACATATAATCCTAGAGTATCTTTATTTGCTCTATAATTTAATAGTACACCTATAAAATAATTACATTATACTTATAGCTTTTCTTCATTTATAAACAGACAAAAAAAAAACCAATTAAATACAATTTGAGCCATTGTAAGGTAAACTTTGTACATACCCCCAGAAGGAGCTTCACACTGCAGCATATCATATTGCTTCCATTGCTACTCCCACAGTTGGGTTCAAAGAGTGTGTGCTCATGTTTGTATTCCGTGAGTTCATAGCTTAATCCTTCCCCTATCTACTTGGGTTCTGTGTTAATAAAATGACAGGGTTGGCTCTGTGGTCAGCCAGAGACTCCCATCCACCCCTACCCTACTCTACTCCATTGACCTCAGGTACAGTCATGTGGACTTCCTTCCTTCACAGAGTTTCTGCTGTGGGTCCTGCACGGAGTCTGGCTTGAGGTTTTCCATTAAATGGAAAAATAAATTCTAAAGCTGGACACACTCTCCACTCTTTCTCTCTATCCCAAGGTTCCAGCCTTCAAGGATTTCTGTTGAGTTCTGCCTCCTGATTTAGGGCTGTGTATAACCATTTCTAAAACCAATGCCCTCTTGTGCAACAGCACATTCTGCTCAGGTCTCATGGAGTTACAGAAGTGATAGAAATGAAACCCGCAGCATAGAGGCAGGAGATGGATTCACCGTCATGCCACATCTTGCTCTCCAGGTGAACACCTCCAGATCCCCCATCACTGTCAAAGGTCAGGAAGCCTCAGCTCTCCGAGCAGCTTGTAGAGGGTCTCACAAACTTGGAAATGGGTTTTTCTGAGTGCCTTTGGCAACAGCACTTGAGACTGAGTGCTCGGGGGACTTACCAATGAAAGGTCTTCAAAGTGTGCTGCTTCCCGCCCATGGCATCTAATTCACATTTACAGATTCCATAAACGTTACTCACAGGGAAGTCTTTGCGGGGCAATCTAGCAAAGGGACTCAATGTAAGTATAAGTTTTCAGGATGATAAATTATGTCAACTTTCTTATGCCAAGAGTTCACAACATGAAAACCTCAATGATTCATAAAAATGAAAAATGAGTTGGTCATCTTTTTGTTTTTTCAAAAATTCCATTCTTTGAAAAGGAAGCTTCTGTAGGATAGTTTAACTAGCTTTCCGTTCTATGTATTTTATTTTTTATTTCCTCCTACACCACAAAGTGAATGGACTCCTTATACTTTTAAATATTTCTTTCACCAGGAAATCTCTTTTGTTTAGTGTCATGGCAGTAAAGTAGTATAACGTCTCACACCACATATGCATATTAAATATCATAGGGCTTTTAAGTTCCCCCTTAATGACTTCCCAGTGAGTCCCCTCCCTACACTCTTCCATCCCGATCCACTTCCTATATTGTGCTGCATGCCTTAGGACCTTCAGTCAAATATTATTCATTGTCAAATCACAATGTAAAATCACCTGGCGTCTCCCTGCCCAATCTAAGAATAGGTGCATGACAATGAACTGCTGACTAGCCATTATTTCTGAGTGAAACACCTTGTGGGCCTGACTCAGAATAGTGCTGCAAAGCCAGAGTCCAAACACGTGAAACAATACATGGATAGGTCTATAGTGCTTTTTAACAGCTCTTTACAATACAGGTCAATTACAAAACCAGCGTTAATATGGAGACCTTTGTGTGTAATAATATTCTAATTGCAGCAATAATAGCATGCACATCAGGGTTCATCTGAGTCCACAGATGGGGGCGGAGGGGTGGGGGAAGTGAGGAAGAGGTGGTGCGGGCCGGGGGTAGGGGAGAGTGTGGCCTGCTGAGCAAGGTCCCCAGGGAAGCCCATTTCATGATCCCAGTGGCTCAAGTCGTCTTCTCAGTATTGGGTTTTTAGAAGAACCTCCCTGTGTCCGGACATTGTCCAGAACCGCATCACAGCAGCGCGAGGGCAGCCCTCCCTTCCCTAGGGAACCTCTCAGCTGGAGGGCCCTGGCCCAGCGGGAGAGGCGTGAGGGCCGCATCCTTCACTTCCTGGGAAGGGGGAGCTGGAGTGTAGGGTGAGGCCAGGGAAAGACTCGCTTTTCCACATGGTGGAAACATCAATGCCGGATTGGCAGGGCAGCCCGGGAAAGGCCCTCTCCGGCCGCTGACTGGTGGACGGTGGGTTTCCAGCCTCGTCCCTCGGGCCTGAAACGCAGCCCGTTTGGGACGCGTAAGAGAGGCCCGCGGTCGGTCAGGAACACATCGCAGCGAAGCTCCGCTTGTGGCCCGCGCGTGTGACAAGGGCGCCGTGGGCCCCGTGGGCCCCGGGAAACGTGCTTGCTGCGGAAGGGGCCACCGGGCAGCGCGTGCGTGGGCTCAGAGGACGGGGACGCAGGCGGCGGCGGCCCAGCCAACGGGCGCGCGGGGCGAGCTGCGTCCCGCCGCAGGTGCTCACTGCTTGTCCGAGTCGCTCAGGTTCACCGACATGCACCGACACTGCTTCACCTTCTGGATCTTTTTGAGTCGGAAGGGAGGGTCCAGCCCGGGACATTCGAGCTCCACCAGGACCGAGGTGACGCGCTGGGGCTTGCAGAAGGCGCACGACTGGAAGGACTCCTCCTCCTTGCGGACGTGGCGCGGGATGTAGAAGGAGTTGCACTGGCCGTAGCAGAAGCGGTTGAGGATCGTGCGGCTGCGGCAGCCGTCCTCGCTCACCGTCTGCCGCAGCGGCTGCGTCTTGCACCAGTCACTCTTGAGGTACTTGCGCTCGGTGACCACCAGGGCCTCCTGGCTGGAGGCCAACGCCTCCTTGATCTGGTGCTGCCATCTCTCCGAGTGGTTGCTGCTGCCGTCCTTGTAGGGCGAGGGGATGGCGCCCGCCGGCCGGTTCTTCCGGGCCCCCGCCACCTTCACCAGCACGGCCACCAGGCACAAGGACAGGGAGAGCTTCCAGAACATCCTGCAACGAGAGAAGAGTTAGAGGGGCCGTCTGGGCGGGTGCTGGCGGGCAGCCGGCCTTCGTGGTTTCATGAAGAAGGGCCGCAGTCAGGTGGGGCCGCTGGAGGGGAGAGTGCAAGGACGCTGTCCTAAATACTGCCCCGCAGGCAAGACGGGGGCGAGACAGTGGCAGTACAGTTGGAACACGAACACACGTTGGACAACTACAGAAGAATTAAAAAGCAAATGTTGTCCAAAATAGCCCAAGCCAGTTTGCTGGAGCGCCGGTAATAGTCAAGAAATGTCACTGCATTTTCACTTAGTACTTGCTCAGTGCTACCCTAGGCGCATCACGCGTCTACCTCATTTGATTCTCAAAACAACAGTGGATTGGAGGTGGCATATATTAGCCCTACTTTGTCATGAAGGCAGTTGAGGCCCATAGACATTGCGTAATTTGCCCAACGTCACACAATGGCTACGAATGTCCCAGGATCTCGAGCCAGGCATCTGCCTCCAGAGCCACCGAAAGTAACCGCCTAGGCATGGATATGATCAAGAAAATTAACCAAAAGGAAAGGAAAGGTGGGTATGGTGACACAAGTTTCTTAACAACGGGTACTGGTGCGGGGTGGGGCGGGGAGGCGCCTGGGTGGGCTCAGTCGGTTAAGCGGTCAGTCTTCCTCTCAGGTCATGCTCTCACAGTTCGTGAGTTCAAGCCCCCTTCGGGCTCTGTGCTGACAGTTCAGAGCCTGGAGCCTGCTTGGGATCCTGTGTCCCCATCTTTCTGCCCCTCTCCAGCTTGTGCTCTCCCCAAAATAAATAAATAAATAAATAAATAAATAAATAATAAATAAATATAATAAATAAATAAATATTTATTTAATAAATAAATAAAATAAATAAATAAATAATGAGTACTAAACTTAGGAATGGCCACAGATTAGGAAAAGTAGTATTTACAGCTCTGTTAATTGCTATGAATAAAAAAATCACATTTCACATCTGCACGAAGATATCCGAGTTAATTCAAGTGAGTCATGAGTTCGTTTCTTATAGTGGAAACCACTTCCCAGTTGTGAATTAAGAAACGAAGGCTGTGTTAAAACTGCCTTAGACAAGGCAATAGATTATATCTTCCGCCTGGTGACACAAGTGTGCAGGGATCGGAGCTGGAAGAAAACTTCCTTTGAAACATGTTTTGTAGAAAGCAAACTGATGTCTCTGAAGTTTAAGTCACAGTTTCCATTGTAATACTTACATTGATACCCTCAAGGGACAGCACTACCTCTCAGTAGAGATGATTCTTATATCCCGACACCTGTAGTTCCTTTTTCACCCTTGTCATACTCACATGTGTTCATTGCCTCCCTGGGTATTTTAGCATTTGTAGAACTGCATGAGACGCTCATCCCTTTAACACGCACACCCTTTTAACATGTACAAAATGGCATGTGGTTATATGTATATAAAAACTATATAGTTGTAGAGTGTATACTAATTACATAACAGGCATAAACATCATGGCTAATATTTATAGTAAGTATATTAACTCTCTGAAGTATTATCAACGTCTTAAATATATTTCTGCTAATGCTAATAGTTCATATTTACTGGTGCTCAAAACCTATCACTCTCCGGGCGCCTAGGTGGCTCAGGTCATGATCTCAGGGTTCGTGAGTTGGAGCCCCGCATTGTGCTTTCCACTGTCAGCACAGAGGACAGTCCACTTCGGCTCCTGTCTCCTTTGCTCCCTACCCCTCCTCTGCTCTTGTGGGCTCTCTCTGCCTCTCCCTCAAAAATAAATAAACATTAAAAAAAACAACAACATTGCTCTTACATTTTCCTTTCACGCATAAGCACATTTAATCATCAACATTCTATGAAATAGCTATTATTATTTCTCCCATTTTATAGATGAGGAAACTGAGGCATTGAGAGGCTTCACAACTTATCAAGATCACATGGCCAGTATGTGAAGTATTTGAATCCTGGCTCCAGGCATGCTAGCTCTAGGTGAGTATACCTATCTCATTGTTAAAAATAGTGGTGTTAAAATATCTATGCTAAAATATTTCTTTATGTCATTATTATTAGTCTAAGTGTAAGCCACAAGAGGCTTTTGCAAATCGTCTAGCAGAGAATTCCTTCATTCATCGAGTTTTGTTGAGTATTTATTCTGGAATAAACTTTAATAAGCCTTGTGAATTCCAGCACCTCCCACAGAGACAAAGCTAAAATTCCTCCAGTGTCAGATGAGCCCTGACAAGATCTGCCGTCCCCATCGTTACCTCACGGGCCTCGTCACCTACACTGTCCCCCTTGCTCATTCTGCTCCAGCAACACTCACTCTGTTTCCAGAACATATGTGGCATTTTTCTGCTCTAAAGCCTTATGTTTTCCTTTCTCCCAGATATCTGCATGGCCTTCTCCTCCAGCCTTCAAGTCTTTGCTCAATTATCGCCTCCCCAGTGAGGCCTTAATAGGTAACTTCACCATAACCCTGGCATTCATTGTCTCCTTCATCCCTGCCTTGGTTTTCTCCATGGCACTTAGCATCCTATAGAATTGAATAATCTTACTGATTTTTGCATTGTCTGACTTTTCCAACTCGATTTAAGGTCCAAGAAGGAAGGACCGCCTATTTTCCATTATTATACGTCTTGCATTCAGAACAATGCCTAGTACATTGTAGGTACTCAATAAATATGTGCTGAAGGAACCATGAATGCCATGCATTTCATTGCAATTTATTTTTTTTTTAATTTTTTTTAACGTTTATTTATTTTTGAGACAGAGAGAGACAGAGCATGAACGGGGGAGGGGCAGAGAGGGAGAGGGAGACACAGAATCGGAAACAGGCTCCAGGCTCTGAGCCATCAGCCGAGAGCCCGATGCGGGGCTCAAACTCACGGCCCGCGAGATCGTGACCTGAGCTGAAGTCGGACGCTTAACCGACTGAGCCACCCAGGCGCCCCTGAGCTTGCAATTTAGAAGTTAGAGAAAGGCATGCAGTTGACAGTGCTATAGTTTTAGAGACACAATGGCATAGGTTTCCATGGTGGTGATCCTGGGACGGAGAACATCTGAATCACTGGGATGCTTTAGAATGTGGATTCCTCACCTCCACCCCAAAACATTCTGAATCAGTAAGAGTTAGGTGGTGTTTGAGATCTGTATTTAAAAAAAAATGCTTTGGGTGATTTCCATTGGCACCAGTGCCCCCAGGGGGTAGGGGCACAAGGAAAGAGCATCAGTTCCTCCTGGAGAGGGAGCAGGAGATGCCCAGGAAGTAACAGGTAAATGGGTGGCTTAAATTCCAAAGAACATTCTTCCGGGCAGTGACACTGACAAGAGGGCAGAGGTAGATAAGTGTAATGACAAGAGGCAAGGGAAGTAAAAACATTTAGAGCAGACAGGGGAAAAAGGGAAGATTTTCTTTTTTTGTAAAAACATTTTGTGCAATGCAATTACTGAAATTATGAGGCCGAATTTTTAAAGGACTTTCCTCATGCCTCCTTAGTTCCAACATGAATTGTCATATTAAAATGGCCATGCTTCTAGCAGACTCATGGCAAGCAATCGAGCATTGGACTCATTCAACTTACACAGCTTATTATATTTGCAGAATGATTTGTGATCTCAATAGTCTCTTAAAAAGAAAGTATGTTGGTTCCATTTTAATAACTTCCAAAATTATTAACATTCTGAGTAAACACAACCAAAAGTTTGTAAGTCCCGGCCAGGAAAGATTTACAGAGTCACCCTGGTCCTCCATACCTAGTTCCAGGAACAGCTTCACATGCATCTCTGATAGGCTAAAAAATGCATGCTTTCACTCAACAGGTCCTAGCTGTTGTCAGGGAGAACAGAACTAAAACATGTTCTGATCAATTTGGGGCAAAACCCCTTAGAGTCACAGTATTCGATGTGATGACTAACAACATGCATTCTTTGAACACTTGGAAACATTTTCAAAACATCTGGCGATCACCCTTAGAAGTTATGCCTCATAAGAACCTAAGAAGAAAAGCAAATCTCCCATTTTCAAGACCAAGAAAAGAGGCTGATGAGAGCTAGGTGACTGGGATCAGCCCAAGCTCCTCTCTTTCCTTTCCTCCATCTCATATCTTTATACTCCTTCACACATAGCAACAGGAAGGTTGTCAAGGATCTGGAATCTCAGTGTCAGGACAGGTAAGTAGGCAAGAGGTATTTGCTGCAGCCACTGTTAGGCTGTATCCTCTTCACTTCAAGGGCACACTAAAGGCTCTGAGCCAGGTTTTGCTCATGGCCGATACTACAGTGGGGTTCCTCAGGAGAGAACAGGCATGCCTCTTTCTTCAGTTCACTGTTTCACACACACTTGCACACACATGTCGGTGGCCCCACCAGGTCCTGAATTTAGCACTCCAGAGTCCAGCTTTGCCTTGGAGCACTTTGCTACTCAGAGAAATGCATACAATTTGCCTTTCGTTGTTTGCATCGAACATCTTTCATCTTACCCTCACATCTTGTGTTTGGCTTGTCTCAGAAGAAACTCGTAAATAAATCTTGTTGGTTTTATTAACCATCCTTGTGGCCTGACAAAGTTATAAATTTGCAAGGGGTGCCAGGACCATAAATGTTGATATGCTAAGCAGCGGGGTTGGTCAAAGTAGGCTGTGGGGAGAGAGAGGTAGCAAAAGCACTTTCTTCTTTTTTTTTTTATTTTGACTTTTTAAAAAATTTTTTAACGTTTATTTATTATTGAGAGGCAGAGAGACAGGGGAGGGGCCGAGAGATGGAGACACACAGAATCTGAAGCAGGCTTCAGGCTCCGAGCTGTCAGCACAGAGCCCGACGCTGGGCTCGAACTCACAAACCTCAAGGTCATGACCTGAGCCGAAGTTGGACATTTAACCGACTGAGTCACCCAGGCGCCCCAGAAGCACTTTCTTCTTAAGTAACACCCCCCGGGCCTGGCCTTTGTTGATATCAGAACAGGGGCTACACAGACCAGGGTAGTATGTGGGCAGCTAAAGAGTAACTGGCCCCTTCTGTCAGCCTTTCCTAGAAGTGTCCAGGGGTTCTACGATAAGAGCTTGAACAATAATGCTTCCTAATTTCTAGGAAAGGCCGTGGCAGTGCTGAATCCTCCCTGCCAAAAGGTGTATGCAAGTGACCAAAGGCCAAGGGTTCAGTTAAGCTGATTAACTCACTCCCAGAGTGACCTTATTGAGTTTTAGAGGTCGAGTCAAGACAGTACAGAGCTGTGCATTAGTGGAAGGTAGGATGCGGCCCGAACGTTTTCTGTGACCTGAGAATTCTAGGATCTCCTTGGAAGGTTGAAGGGAAGCACCCAAGGCTGAATGTCAGCACACACATCTGAGACAAAGTTGCTCCCATGGCCCAAGTGAAAACAGAATCCAAATCAAACAGGAAACTCCAAACAAAACCCCCAACAGGGGTAGCATTTAGAGATTATTTTTGTGAGTCTTACTACTAGCACCTCAACAGCCAAATGTACTTCATCTCGACATGGATTCTTGGGCTGGGAGGCTGTGCTTGAGCTCTCCAACTAGTGGTGGATATTCCTTGGCTCAGGCCTCCTCCTCCTAGCCTAGATCGCTTGTCTGCTAAAACCACTTGCTTTCAGCAACTGTAATCTGCAGCTCACGATGGCCCGTGGGCCTACCCCAACCTGAGGTCTGTTTCTGTAAACAAGGTCACGTTGAATACACCCATGCCTATTAGCTACATTTCCTTTATGGCTGCTTTTGTGTCACAAAAACAGAGTGAGCAGTGGGGACGGAGGTGGTAGAGCCCACCAGTCAAAAATATTTACTGCCTGGCCTTTCACAGAAAAGTTTTGCCAAATCCTGTTCCAATTTTTTTTCTCCCAATTCAGTCTTTGCTTTCTTTTTATCTTTGTTCTCTTCTGCAAGAAAAGTAGCTCTGAATTTTAAAATTTCTAACTGTGAAATATTTCAAACATAGGGCAAGCTAGAACATATAATAAACCCTCTCTACCCACCACCAAGACTAAAACAGTATTAATATTTCCCCTCTTTATTTTGCTATCGCTTTCAATTTCGAAAGAAATAAAGCAATACGAGTGATAGTAAAGTGTTGTCCTCCTATCCTTCTACACTCATTGAAAGGACCAGAATCCTAAAGTTGGTTATGTCATTCCTAGTAATGCTTTTCCGTGTTTACGGGTTATGTTTTGTGTATGAGGGCAGGTTTTTGTGCACGTTTGACCTTCGCATATCAAGTATATATATATATATATATATATATATATGTACTTCACATATATATAGCTATACTCTTCTTGAGCAACTTTATTTTATTTTAATTTTTAAAAATTTCTGAGCAACTTTTAAATTCAACAATAGGTGTTTGAGATTTTACACATGTAGACGTTTTTAGGAGGAATCTATTCACCTCCACTGCTGAATCTTAAATAACAGTTTATAAATTCACCTTATTGAAGGACAGTGAGGTTGCCTCTGTTTTGTCACTATGACCAACAATGCTGCACTGAACAGTTTTGTGTATGTTTATTTGTGCCCACCTGTCACAGTTTTTCTAGAGGAGACACCGAGAAGTGGAGATCCTGGGTCATGGGATATGTACAACTTGAGCTTGACTAAGTTTTGCTAAGTTACTTTTCAAGTGCTTACACCAGTGTTCTTTCCCCTGAGTAATATGTGAGTCCCTGCTCCTACACACACTTGCTAACACCTGGTGCTAACTATTTAGTTCCTTTTGCCTATCCGAAAAATTTGAAATGATGTCTTATTATTATTTCAAGTTGCATTCTTCCCATTATAAGGGAGTTGATCACCGAGCTCAAATACTGTAGTTGTACACTGAAAGGGAGTGATTGCAACTTATTCTAAGTAAAGGAGGAAAATTAAAATTTTAGGAAAGGAGAAATAAGAAGTAGTAACTATAAATCTTCTTGTTTTGAATTTTTTATTTTTTACTTATTTTTATTTTTTTAATATGAAATTTATTGTCAAATAAATCTGAACTGTCATGAGAAGAATAGGAAGTGGCTTATGATTTCAGAGCAGAATGATCAGGGAAACCCACATGACTCAGAAGTTTGAAGTCCAGGGGCACCGGGGTGGCTTTGTCAGTTAAGCGTCAGACTTTGGCTCAACAGTCCATGAGTTCGAGTCCTGCATCGGGTTCTGTGCTGATAGCTCAGAGCCTGGAGCCTGCTTCAGATTCTGTGTCTCTCTCCATCTCTGCCCCTCCCCCGCTCACGCTCTGTCTGTCACTTTCTCTCTCTCTCAAAAAGAAATAATTATAGATTAAAAAAATCTTAAAAAAAAAAAAAAAGAAGTTTCAAATCCAAATGGATTCATTTACTTTTCCAAGTGAAATTGCCTGAATGGAACACTGACTATCATTTTGTTCCAGGAGAAGTTTAATTTCATCTGGAAAAATTATGTTTTTTAAAAAAGGTTTTCAACCAAAGAAGAAATGATACTGTCATTACTTACTTTGACTTC